GGACTGCATTCTTCGTTTGCTTCCTTCAAGTTCTACCAACAGCAAATGGAAAAAAATCTACGAGGGCCACAGTTTCGAATGGAGATCATACCACAGTTCAATTGACAAATCCAATTTCAATTAAAGCCCGGGAATGTGTGGTAATAGAACACAAGATACATCGAAAAAGAAACCAAACAATAACCCATGACTTGTGTTACCTGCGAGGCCGTCGGGTCGGTCCAACTTCAACAGTATTTCTCGGAAGCTCGTCGTCCACGGTGGGGGTCAGATTGTCGCGGCTTATCGGCAAGGCGTTGGTCGTCGCTTCTTCTTGTTACGCGGCGAAATCCAAATTAGGGAAAAATGACACGCGGCTTATCGGCAAGGCTATGTGCGTCGCTTCTTCCTCTCACGCGGCGAAGTTTGGGCTACGGCAAGTTTTCAGATCACGCGGCGAACTTCTTCCTCAGTAGCGGCGCAGTTTTGGTGCTGGACGGCATCATCTCCATTCGTCGCTAGGGTAAATTTTTATCTCAGAGTTGGGAAAGAAGAGAAGGGTATAGAAGTCCTTTGTATCTGTTGTGGGTGTGTTAATCCTGCAAAGTAAATCTGTGATTTTTTCTGCCAATTCCATCACGAAAAGTAAACGTGAGACTAAATAATGACGTGGAAAGTAGGTCTGATTAATTAGTATTACAAATTTGACCCTTGAGTTAAATTGCAAAATATTCAAATTTATAAAATTGCAATTTGGTTCTTATGACTTGTCAAAATTAAAAAAAAAAAATAGCCCCCTTATTTCTTCTCCTTTGACCACCGGACACACATCTGTTTTCAACCTGAGTGGTGCCGACTTGTGATCGGGCGATCTAGACTCGTCGCAGAGCTTCATGTTCGGCTCAAGCAGGAGCCGCGAGGCCGTCTTGGCCTCCGCCTCAGAGGCCACTTCACCGATGGCGGCGGGCGCGAAGGGTGATCTAATGGACGCCGACGTCACAAGCGCGACAGATCGCGACCAACCTTGGCGGGCTGAGGCAAATCTTGGCAGGCTGTTGAGGCCTGCACGCAGACCTTGGCAGACCTTGGCAGGTAGCGAGGTTGTTCTCGGCGGCGACGTGATTGTCGATGCTTGTGGCGTCCGGCGACGACGTTCAATTTGTGTGTTTGTGTGTGTGTGTGCCGATGTGTGTTGTGTATGTTGTGTGTGAGAGAGAGATGGTAGGTTAGTGGTGGTCGTGGTAGGGTCCACTAGTAGTGTGCAATGTTTTATTTAGTCCCAATTAGTGGTCAAATGTTTATATTTGACCGTAATATGTGTAATTATTTACAAGAATGTCACTCATATACCATCAATGTCGATATGCTTGACATATTTCAAAGTATACTAAAAACTACTACACATCCAACCGACTCTATTCCAACCAATATATACCATGGACAGTATTTTTTTTTTCTCCACAGACCAAGTTATTCAATTAATTGATTACCTGTAACGTATACAAAATCTATTCAAGCCTATGATATTTCAAGCACAAAAGTTCGGCCGAGTTCCAAAATAAAACTTGAATTAACGTCACTGTTCTTGTGAAGTAAGTTATTTTCATAGAATTACCCACCTTCCATATTTGCATATGATTGATAAACTAATTTGTCATTAATGATTGTTGGGCAAATCTACAATAATTTGAATAACAGAGATTGGCTGAGGCCCTAACTACCTACTCAACATGGACAACTGATGGTTTGTCTCCCTAACGAAGTTCAATTTCAAGTCAACATATCAAACAGGATTTAGATAATAGATTAAAAAAACATACGAACACAAAATACACCGAATACATTTTAAATAATCTACATAGATCCCTAATGTTGTGAAAATTGAATGATCACCGTGAAATGTGCATATGCTTGATGCAGCTAACCATCATCACATTCATAATCAAATAATGCACTATTAAATTCATACTCTCTCTTTCCTCTCTCCATATAAATACAATGTAATTGACTATCAATTCTAACTTAGTACATTACAGAAACATAACCACATGGCTCAAGAAAAAATCAATACAGAGAGGGTGAAACTTGTAATTTCATTGCTCATTCTGCAACTATGCTTTGCAGGATTTCACATTGTCTCCAGAGTTGCGCTTAACATTGGTGTTAGCAAAGTAGTGTACCCTGTTTACAGAAATATTATCGCACTACTACTGTTGGGACCTTTCGCCTATTTCATAGAAAAGTGAGCATTTTTGTATTGATTTACATGAAAGAACTTTTATATATATATATATTATTTTTTACAAACATTAACACCATTCATTACCTTCATTTACAGGAAAGAGAGGCCACCTCTAACATTCTCTTTATTAGCCCAGTTTTTCCTCCTAGCACTAGTAGGGTGAGGAGTTGAGATAAATCAAAATAATAACTGAGTTGGTTATACTTTTATCTTTCCTTAGGATAAATTTTGATGTTTTTCCTTTGTCTTATCTTGACTGTATCTCTGTCTTAATTTCCAGAATTGCTGCAAACCAGGGTTTCTACATTTTAGGCTTGTACCATGCATCTCCAACTTTTGCATCAGCAATGCAGAACTCAGTGCCTGCAATTACTTTCATTATGGCTTCGGCTCTAAGGTAAGGACCGAAATACTTGTTTCTCAAAAACAGCACCATTGGCAACTATCTTTATTCCATACGGTTTGTTCCTTTTTTCGACTTTCCAGGCTGGAGCAAGTGAACATCTCGAGAGTAGATGGATTGGCAAAAATCCTAGGGACTTTAGCAAGTGTAGGAGGTGCCACAATTATTACATTGTACAAAGGCCCACCCATACTAAACAAGGCATCAGAAACAAATAATTCATCTGAAGAAAGTATGGTCATGCCATCAAACAAAGTGCAGAACTGGACATGGGGTTGTATATTTCTCCTAGGTCACTGCTTATCCTGGGCTGGATGGATGGTCCTTCAGGTGGGCTGATACTTATAATTTTGTTTTCACACGTTTAACATCAACGGCACAATATATTAGAGAATCACGTCAAGTGAATTTGGTCATTGGTCTTTGTTTATCGAACTTCAGGATTTACTAATATCTTGGGATCTCCTTAATCTGAAGAGCTCTAACATGGATAGTAGTAAGAGATTTGTCTGAAAGTATTAGGAAGCATTCAAAAGAGTTTCTTTGCTATGCAAGAACTGAACCACCCGAGTTAACAAGCATACTTTCTGGTGGCAGCAAATCTAATAATCAACCAACAAAGCTTGAATTCAAGCATATACGTGCATGATGTTCAATGCTGCCAATATTACAAGTCAAACTATCTGACTTATGACACTTGTAATGTTATAAAATGCAGGCTCCTATAGTCAAGAAGTACCCAGCAAAGCTCTCACTCACATCATTCACGTTATTTTTCGGCTTAATCCAGTTCCTGGCAATAGCAGCATTCGCAGAAAAGGACCCAAAGCATTGGCAAATCCAGTCTGGGGAAGAGATACTAACAATCTTATATGCTGTAAAATTTCAAATTTCTATTCTTTCTTTTCTTTTTTCGAGTGCCACTAATCTTACAAACATAAAAGGCATAACTTAGCTACCATATTAATGTGAGCAGGGAGTAATATCTTCAGGCCTAGTAATATCTCTACAGACCTGGTGCATTCAGAAAGGAGGCCCAGTGTTCGTAGCTAGTTTCCAGCCAGTGCAGACAGTATTAGTTGCTGGCATGGCATTCATAATATTCGGTGATCAATTATTCTCCGGGGGGTAAGTGGTTGGTCAAATTAAAAGTGAAAATTCAAATTTGACGATCCACAAAAACTTGAGAAAAAATTGAAACTAAAGGAGCATTCTAATGCAGGGTCATAGGAGCTGTACTCATTATAATCGGGCTATACCTAGTCTTATGGGGCAAAACAGCAGAGATGAGATATCAAACTCAAGATACTGAAGAGGCTTTGACAAAACATCTATTACAGGATAACAACAATAATCAAGAACGCCTTGAAAGAACCAACATTCCGTAATGTTATGGTCTCTTTGTTCACAAGGAATTCACATCTCATCAAGTTGACAGACACAAACCATACATGATTCCCCGTAAGAAAAATGAGCAGGTCTCAAAAGTTTTACCAATCAACATATCATGTACATCTTCACTGTATTTTTTCAAATTCAAATGCTTTTAATTGTTTGATTTAGAAAAACAAGAAGGAGCTTTGGCAACAGAATAAATAACACCAAAAGAAAGATCCAATTATGGAATGTAAGCAAATTGCCAAAATAGCTTCTGGATGTATATTACGATCAGCTTCCAAATGATAGAGCTCACAACTATTGCGTGAAACTTGTGGAAGACACCTAAGCAAATATATGCGGATGAATTAACAATAAAATATATGACATTAATGAGGACTCTTTCCTCATCTTAAAAAAGTTTAGTTGGGCAGCGCCACTACATGTCTCCTTTTCACTGACTACATATATATAAAATATAAATTTATATACATACAATCAACAACGGTTATGGCCAGGTTGAGTTTACTGCTATTACTATATAGTATATATCATACCTCAAAACAGAACTAACTACTTGAAACCGAAAAAATTTTCTACAGGAAATTTAAACACAACATTTACTAACAAAACTAACATCACAAGCATAATTCCAATTTCAAGCAAGTTTTTTAGTAGAAACGCAGGAGTGCAGGGAGGGCCTGGGATATCTTGCACATTCACTTATTCGTGCACTGCCCCATTTAGATAACTAAAAAGAGAATTCAGACAACTAGTTAAAGCAATATTCAAATCAAGCATTCAACAAACCAAATAAAAAATACACCATTCAATGGTTGAGTCAAAATTAACAAGTCTAGTTCAAAAACAGCCCCACAACCACGAAATCAAAGCAAGACAGGACACACACCAGATAAGCAAAGACAAGGAAGGAAAACGCCAAAAAGTTCTTCCAAAGCATCATTAAATTTTTTAGATCAACCCTACCTCACCGTAACAATGTCGTCAATCTTCAAAATCATGCGAACGCACTCCGTAGACAGTGTAATTGCACTCGTGCTCACCAGTAGAGGCTGCACCACATTCTCCTCCAGAATATTTGTTATCTGCCCCTTCCTCACGTTGATGCCTGCATTGATCTCACCTTGTGCGTGCCTGTTCCTTAACTCAGTAACGATAGCAATTGGGTTCAGCCCAGCATTCTCGGCCAGCGTGTAAGGAATAACCTCAAGGGCCTCTGCAAAAGCCCTCACGCAGTAGCCTTCCATCCCCTGCAGCACCTTCGCCCAGGCGCCCAGCTGCCTCGAGAGCTCGATCTCGGGGGCCCCACCACCTGCAATCAGAAACTTCTTGTTCACCAAGCACCTCACCACACACAGTGCATCGTGCAAGCTCCTCTCAGCCTCATCAAGCACCAGATGGTTTGACCCGCGGACCAGCACGCTCATGGTCCTACCCATGTCCTTAATCCCCGTGATCTTCACTATCTTCCCGCCATCTCCAAGTGGAACCTCCTCCACCAAATCCGCGTGACCGAGCTTCTCTGCCCGAAAATGCTCGATGTTCGAGATGGGTAGGCAGTTTAAGGTCTTTGTGATGAACTCAATCTCGTCCCTCTCAACATCTCGAATGACTAAAATCTTTGCCTTTGCCAGATAATGCAGGGAAAGGTCTGTCACAGCATCCCTCAGAATACTCTTCTGGATCAACAACACGTTGCACCCTGTGGCCTTGATTTTCTTAATCATTCCAAGAATATAGGTTCTCTCCTCTTTCAAAATCCTATCCATCTGGGAGTAGTCAGACACTACAATGCTCTGCTCTATATCAGTCTTAGGGGGTGAGATCTGGAACTGTATCACGGCTATCTTAGCATTTTCGACCCTAGTGGGGCCCCCAGCAGCATGACTCACCTTCTTATCGAAAACAAGTCCCTTTACCAGTTCGGTGTCATCGACAGTTCCCCCCAATTTCTTTACAATCCTAATATCTTTCAAATCCACTAAATCGGGCTTTTGTGGATCCACCACAGAAAGCACAGCGTCAACAGCTAGTGGAGCTAAAAGAGTGGAGTACTGAGACACTACCTTTGAATTGAGAGAGGTAGAGGCAGATTTGACGAGCGATTCGCGATCTGAGAGCTCGACAGGGACCGCCATGGCAGATAAAATCTCGACGGCTTTGATTGAGGTCTTATGGAGGGAGTCGGAAACAATCGTAGGGTGGATGCCGGAGGTCAACAGACCAAGTGAGGCCTTGAGCAGCGATCCGGCGATGACGACAACGGTGGTGGTGCCATCTCCCGCGACGACGTCCTGAGATTTGGAGAGCTCGACAAGGAACTTGGCGGCGGGCTGAAGAACTTCCATTTTATTGAGGATGGTGGCGCCGTCATTAGTAATTATCACCTCGCCCGACGAGGTTGAGATCATCTTGTCCATGCCCTTGGGCCCGAGACTGGTCCGCACGGCATCCGCCACGGACTGCGCCGACGCTATGTTGGCCATACGGATGTCGTCCTTCCGCTTATTGTCAACGAAAGTCTCTGTCGACCTCGTCTTCGACACCGCCGGAGCCGCCATTGATTCGGATTCGGAGACCGATGAGATTTGCCGTAAAACCCTAAGAGAGAAAACGTGTGCGTGAGTGAGAGAGAGTAGGGTTTCTAGACACAATGAGCGAGGAGATTAGAGAGTGAAATGTGTGCGCAATTGCATATATTTTTAAATTCATTTACTAATCCACCCGAAAAAAAAAAAAATACTATATGTATATTTATTAATGGGTAAAGTCCACTTTTGGTCCTCCATGTTTAGGGGTATCCAGACTGAGTCCCTATTATATTTTGGTGCCCAATTTTAGTCCTTAAAACAAAAAACTGAGTCTCTATTATGTTTTGGTGCCCAATTTTAGTCCTTAAAACAAAAATTGTAGTCCCTATAATAGAGAAAAATCCACTTTTAGTCCTCCATGTTTAGGGGTATCCAGACTTAATCCCTATTATGTCTTAATGCCCAATTTTAGTCCATAAAACAAAAAAATGTAGTTCATTTACCTCAATTTCTGTGAATTAACGGTCCATTTTTGCTCGACTGTGATGTTCTTTATTTTTTTAAAATTTGTTGATTAATGTCAACTTTGACCAAAGAAAAATAAAAGAAAATTTAAATGCTGAAAATATATTAATCAAAAATTAAACTAAAACAAGAAATTGCACCAAATTAAATTAAAATTTTTGCTCGTCTGATTTCTATTTCCCTAGCATTCGCGCTGCGGAGCAAGCCTGGAATCACAGCTACTGCTCTTGCATCCAAAATTGCACCTATCAACCCTCTGTTTTTTAACCATTTCTTATCATATTCCAATTGAAGTTCACAGAAAGTACTTACAGGATATAGAGGGCAACTTAAGAATCTTCTCTCGGGATTATCATCCTTCCAGCATGTAGTCAACTTTGCAACCAGCTTACATCTACAAAATACCACACCATTTCCATCCATTTGATCGGATTTAGTCTCTAGGCGGTCAGGTTTTTTTTTTTCTACGTTTCACTGCAGTTCACCATTTCTGCCTTTTATTTTACCTTTTCTCAGCATTTAAATTTTTTTTTTTATTTTTCTTTGGTCAAAGTTGACATTAGTCAACAAATTTTAAAAAAATGAAGAACATAACAGTCGAGCAAAAATGGACCGTTAATTCACATAAATTGAGGTAAAGGGACTACATTTTTTTGTTTTAAGGACTAAAATTGGGCATCAAAACATAATAGGGATTAAATCTGGATACCCCTAAACATGGAGGACTAAAAGTGGATTTTTTCCTATTATAGGGACTACATTTTTTTGTTTTAAGGACTAAAATTGGGCACCAAAACATAATAGGGACTCAGTCTGGATACCCCCTAAACATGGAGGACCAAAAGTGGACTTTCCCCTTTATTAATCTATATATAAAGAGACAATAATATTTATTTAAGAATGTAATAAAAAATAATTGATTTCCTGCATAAAAATTCTGATTTACTAAATTGAGTAAATATTTTGGCAAAAATATAAATAGACAATAATATTTATTAAAAAATGTAACAAAAAATCAGCAAAAAAATATTTGATTTCCCGTCTAAAAATTCCAATTTACTAAATTGAGTAAATATTTTGGCAAAATTCGAAAAATTTCACCTCTACACAATCTGTTTCAATTTTTTGGAAATTTGAAAATAAAACCATCCCAATAATTAGGGGAATATTAGATGACATATGCTTCAATTTGACCATATTTTTCTAATTAAATAACAATTTTAAAATTTTGAAAAGAATATCAAATATTTTATAGACTCTTTGTTTAAATTTTTCAAAAATTTAAAAATGAAAGTTTGGTTGTACTCAAGTTCACAAATTTGTAAACACTAGTATTCGACCTGTGCATTTGCACAGATATAAATAAATTATTGTGAGTCTATATGCATATAATGATTAATTATTTTTCTTTCACTTTTTTACAGACCAAATTTACAATTAAAAGAATTGTAATATTTTTTTTTTTAAATTGCGTTTATCTGATTGGATGTAATGTATATTTTGGTACGTCTTTTATTTGTGAATTATTTATTATTTATTTAGGAATTTCAAATATATTTTTATTTAAAAAAAAAATAAATGTAACAACAATAATAACATCTAATCACATTATACGGTCAACACATTATATGGTCAACTGTCATTAATCAAAAGTTTAAAATGATTTTTGTAATTTTGAAGTGATGAGTATTAATTATTTAATGATTAAATGAAAGATTAAATACATCAAAATGTAACGGTTTTTGGAGGGAAAATTGTTAAATTGCCACATAGGTAAAATTAAATAGGTTTTATTAAATGTTATTAGCTAGTAATTATATATATATAGATTACACCTCTTAAATTCAAAATAAATCCAACAATCAATGGGAACATAATTTTAAGATCCTTATGCTCCAAAAGTAGTGAGTAATTTCATCATATAAAAATTCTTAAATGCCAAAATATCATCATATCAATTTTTCTTTTTTTTTTTCAATCTAAATGCCAAAATAATTTGTTGAATGCAAAAATCATAATTTCATGTTTGGAATGTCTAAAAATTTTAAAGAGTATCGTATCAAACAAAAATCTTAAAGAGTCTCATTTGGAATGTCACCAAAAATTACCTAATACTTACCACCAAAGAATCTCATATCAAACCAACCACCAATTACCATAAATCACTTTATACTTATCCATTAAAAAATCCATATTACATCTACCACCATTTAAGTAATCAAAAGACAAAAGAAAAGAAAATCGAATATTAATTTATTACTATATAATATAGAGAAAAAAAATTGTTTGAAAAAATATTTCATTTTACCGCTTAAAACATGTTTTTCCCCCTAAAATTTAATTTGAATTTTTTCATGCATGTATTTGAATGAACTCATGACGTTTAAGATAAGGTGCATGAATTGCGGCTTAAATCTTAATATGCATGAATTGCGCCAACGTATTAGATAATTGATAGACAGCTATATATTTTTTTTTATTTCACTCTACATGTTACATATCATTTGGATTTTTTGCTTTACTTCTATTTATTTTTTCCAATACAAGCCGATTTTACTTCCATTTTTTTTTGCCAATACAATCCGATTGTTAATTGATCTAAAAAAACAAAGCAAAATATTTTTTTCATGCACGTATATGGTTCGAATAATCAGTTAGTTCCATAAAAGCCGTATCAGATTCCATAGCTGCAATATCACAATAAAGAGTCAATTACCCAAAAAATTCTAACGTAGGTGCAAAGGAAACGTGTGCATAAATATCTCAATAATTTTATGATAAGTATGTTTCATCTTTTATAAATCAAAGATTCAATTTATATTTTTAACCTTTTGTATATATCTTAAATTTATATTTTCGAAAGTAATATATTAATAAAAAGGTATATTTTGTTTGTACACATAACCACTATACAGAATTTTGTTTCTTTTTTTATACGAAATTAATTTATTAGTCTTTCATGATATGTACAAATAATAATTTGTTTCTCACATGGAATATATATCATACGTATTATAGTGAGATTCTAATTCTAATTTACACATTCCTTAAATCTCAAAACTTTATTTACTTTCGAAAATAATATATACAAAAAATGGTATACATTGTTTAGCACACATATACGCACCGGTAACAGATTTTGAGTACACTGTCTGATAAGAAAAAACCCCCCACAACTCATCTTTTTATTTTACCTTTCCCTAACTATTGAAAATGCCTCCTGCTTTTGGTATTATTAAAGACCTCAAAAGAACTTACCGACCATTCATTAAGCTACGCGTCATTAGAATGTTTCAACGCGGGGAGGATAAAGGCTATAAAAATTCCCTTGAATTTATTTTGCACGATTCTGAGGTATTATGTAAACATTTATTTATTACCATTATTTTTTCGAAATTGTAATGTTGCATACTAATTTGAAATAATTGTTTGTTTTATGTACTTTGTAAGGGAGGACGTATCAATGCTCTGGTCCTACCCACGCATATTGCTAATTTCATCAACCAAGTTGAAGAAGGGTCGTCTATGTCTTGAAAAATTATCAAGTCGAAAGTAATACTGCCATTTACCAAACGACAATAAGCCTTTGGAGGCTTGTGCTGAACAAGGATACCAAATTTATCAAGTGGCTTCATCCTTTCCCTACATATCGTTTTGTCTTTAGAGATTTTGCAACTTTAATGGACATTGACAATATAGATGAAACTATGTTGTTTGGTAAGAAATTATTACTTGCTTATTTTTTTTGAATTTTAATTTATTTAATTTGCAATATTTTTGTCGTGTATTAATTCTTAAATTCAATTAACCTAAATTTGTTTATTACATCTTAATTTATAGATGTTATTGGGGTGGTTGTCGAAATACAACCAATTCAAATGAAGACTGTCAAGGGGGTGCCTACGGAAATGATTGTTTTTTCCCTTATGAACTTGGAGTAAGTATATAACATTATATTTTTCATGTGGTTTATCTATGATTGTATAGATTGTTTATTATATTCTTAACATTGTTAACATATTAATTATTATATACGATTTTTTTAGTGGATGTGATTATTATACCATTGTATGATAATTGTTTATTCAATTTTTTTACATGGAATTTGCCGCTTATTCAATTTTTTAAGAGGGGCAAACGCTCAACATATTAATTAATTAGCATGTGCATAATTATTTATTTCCTTAGGGATAATATTTGATTTCTAGTAGGTTTAGTCTTTCATTTCTCTAGGCTTAGTGA